AAGAGCCCTGCTCCGCCTCCCAGTCTGACTGTCCCAGTTGCACGAAGTTTGACCATGGAGATGGACTAAGTCAGCGATGGGAAGCCAAGCCCGCATCCTGAGTCCAGCTTGACTTTTGCAGGGCATCAAATGGCTCCCAACAGGCCCTTGGTTGCTTTCACCCCAGTACCTTCACAAGCGGTGACCCCGGTACCATCAGAAGCAGCGGTGGAGTGTGAGCAGGATCGACCTTTCAAGTATCAATCCCAAAGCTGACACATGGAAAACACGGAAATTAACATATAAAACGCATGCAACGTATATCCTTTCTCGATCTCCAGGACCGCAGAATGCAACAGTTGATTGACCTTGTTGCCAAGCAGCAAGCGCAGATCGCTGCTCTCGAGAAGCTCAAGGCATCGGCACCGGACAAGCCTCAGGAAACGGCGCCGGACAAGCGTCAGGAAACGGCTGGGATGCCCCTGAACCAGGCGTTTTGATTGCAAGTTGTGCCACAAGTAGTGCATGGCATTCCTGAAATATGAGCTACTGTCTAGTCCACAAAATGATCCAAATAGAGCGTTCAATCTATATGATATTAATTGTTTTGCATCTTCAAACTCGATTGGATCATGCGGCTAATTGTAACTTAGGTTTCAGGGCATGAGTCAAGCGGGAATGCGGGTGCTGCTGAGATTCCAAAGCATCAGCAGGGGTTGCCAGCAGAACAAGCCGATGTCCATCAGCCTCACCAGGAGGAAGCTGAGGAGGAGCTACCGGCTGTGTTGCATATTGCAACCTTCACAAAAGCTGATAAAGAAAGGGTCAAGAGGATTGTATGTCCGAAACCAACCACTGGCAACCTTGCAGTTCCCCGAGACATTTTTGAACTTTGGCAAACTGAGAAGGGCAAGGAGAAACTCTTACTCCAATGGTGCAAGTCTGGTGGTGTCAAGGCAGGGTTTTCTTTTGTTACCCGATGGCAGCCATCCATACCTTTACGCATCCTGTACCGTTCCTTTGTTTCATCGTACCCAGGCAGTCTTCATGCAACGTGTAGAGATCCTTTCCACAACAACGAGATCTAAGAAGATCGAAGTCACGGGTGGATTCTACTCTGAAGAGGATATGAAATCAGAGTTGGGATACTCCCAGACCCATGGCAGCATTTCTATAGGTTTCGAAATGTGAGCTACTGCAGCTACAAAACATGGTTTTCTAAAAATGGGGTTTGTGTCAATCAGCCAGCCTGGTGGAAATGGTTTGGGGATCCATGCATGTGACTGTGGCGGCGTGTTTCAATCTGATCCATTCAAGGGACCGCATCGACAAGATCAAGAAGTGGGCAACGGCCAAGAAGCTGGTAAGGTCAGTCATGCGTGTTTCATGCCTATAATGTATATGCAACTTTTGTTTTGCAACATTATCTGCTCTCTGCTTCACATTCACTTGGCCAGGCTTTGCGAGTACGACGACAGTGTGATCGAGTATTGGGTGAACATTCGCACCAGTGGCACACTTTCCAGGGAGGACCTTCAACGACTGAGTGTCTCCCAATCCCATGAAGGTGAGGCAGAGCTTCATGAGGATGGTCTCCCTTTTCCTGTGTGTTTGGAAGAGGGTGGGTTCCCTGACCTTGGCAAATCATCGAATGTGGATACTGAAGGGGACAGCTCAATGCAGGTACCTAAGTTGCATGTAGAGAGAGAGAGAGAAAGGGAGTGAAGCTTTAACCCAATAACCATGACCGGGGTATTTTCTGGTTCAGCTTACTTGTGTGACCTAGGTGAAGTCGAAGATTTCAACGTATCTCAAGAATGCTTTGAGAAGCAAAGCATCACTATGCAGTATCACCGACAAAATCAGTGACCTTGCCATGGCAGACTCTTCATGCAAGGAGTTTCCCAATTGCAAAGCTATGCATGTGTGCAATGTCTATATAAATTTGTGTTGTTTCTATTGCCTCAATTCAAATCGCAAACCCGAGGTGCAACAATCGACTTCTCAAGCTCATCTCCGACATGGATCGATGCTATGAAACTCTTTCAGATCTCCAAGCAGAGGGTGACACCACTGGATATTCCGATGAGACCTTTGACCCTGTCATGAGGTTTGTTGGCCATATGCATGCATTGCTAGACTCTTTGTAAGCAAGTTCCAAGGGGCACCCATCACTAAGGATCAATTCGAAATCTGAGGCTGTATTCCAAGAACTTACCAAAACGAAGCTTGGCCATGCCCACACTTAAGTTTGAGCATTCATTTACCCGGTTTTCCCAAACTTAGTTCAAAACCCTGTGCATCCGAACGAGGATGTCCAAAGCAACGAGTGCACAATCTGCAGCCCAGTCAGAGGCCAAGAAACGTTGGAGCATACATATATATAGTGATCCATCCATGGAGTCTCTCCAAAAGACTGCACCGCCTCAGCGTCTGAGGCACTTCGTGTCAAAGGCCAAAAAGGCCAAGTCAAAGGCCAAGACGGAGTAAATCTTGCACCATGCAATAGCTTCATGGGTGCTACTTTGGGGGTTGCAGCCTGGGAGAGACAAGGGTCCTTGGAACCTGTGGCTGCTTAACCATTGACCGATCGAGTGGGGAAAACGAATCAATTGGGCATGCGAGCGGGGAGTCCTCTGAAACCTGTGCTGAGTCATCGAACGCATGTCAGGGTGAATGGAGTTCTGCATGTGCATGTGGATGCTGCATGTGCACAACAGGCATGCATCTATATAACTTAGTTTGCGGTCCCTCCGCAGGTAATGTGCAGCTCAGTCGTACTGTCCACCACATTGCTAAGATGTACGCCAAAGGCGTGGCTTGATAGCAAGACTTTGAGGATTGAACTTTGTTTTCAAAACCGACCGATCGATGATCGCAACTGGTTGATCATATTGCCAGTTAGTGCGGTTAGTGACTGTTGAACCCAGTCAGGCTTTTCATTGTGACATTCATGCAATCCAAGGCACCAGCAGTGGATTGCGTTGAAGAAGCGAAAGCAGCAGCCAAAAGGGATGACTGCCCAACCTTGCAGCGCATAGCCAAAGCTCGGGTGGAAAGCGCCGATGAGCCCCTCTTCAAAGCATTGACTAGCTGTGGGTTGACTTTGGACTTTCCAATGCAGGAACTACAGTTGGATGAAGATGGTTTCAATTATCCGTGCTTCCCTCCTCGGGAGCAATTGGAAACTCTTGCCCAAAAGGGGTATTTCTACAGGGTACTTGGCCTACCTATCGCTTATGCAGAACATGTGCTGCCCAATTTTTGGAACAAGTTCAGGGCCCTGCAACCGGAACATGATATTTTCAGTCAGGAAAGAGACTGGGCACATCTCATACCCTACTATCTCCATGGCGACGGGGGTCGCACTTACAAGAAAGATGCCATCATGATCCTTACAATGTTTAGCGCGTTTGGTTCAGGCACTGCCCGGAATCCAGTCGAGTTGCAGCCAGTGCCAGGCAAGGACCCGAAGCGGCCACGCTCGGACCATGGCATCAGCTTCAAGCCCGGTGTGAACTTGAGGGGCAACACTCTGACCTGCCGTTTCCTGTTTGCAGCTATGAAGTGCGAGTACTACAAAAAAAAATGCACAGGTTCACGTCGCTTTTGGACCAGTGGGGTGACTTTTTGGGATCTCTCTTCACTGATGGGTTTGTGCATGATGGTGAAGTCTGGCGTGTTGCAGTGTTGGGCTTGACAGGGGATGCTCCCTTCCTGCGTGAAGCTGGAATGCATAACCGGTCTTTCTCGAATGTGCGCAAAAGTGACCGATCTCGAGCAGCATTGCCTGGTGTATGCTGGATGTGTGCAGCTGGCAAAACAGGAGGGCCACCGTTTGAGGACACGAGCATTCGCGCCGCATGGACATTAACAACTGGACAGAACAACATCCTCCCATGGGAGGAACCGAGCCCTCTACTTCAACACCTGCCGGTCAATGATTCTGACCTTGCAAGCTTCTACCGCCCTGACCTCTTTCACGTCTTTCATGCAGGGCTTGGCAAGGACTTCACAGCATCGGCAATTGTGTATATTGCAAAAACCCTGTTCAAGCAAAGGAAACTTCAGCGCTCGCTGGACGACCTCAATGCAGCCTTGAAAGTGTTCTTACAAACAACGAAGGAAAGACTTAACTTCGCGCAGTTTACCCTGGACAGCCTTGGTTACTATAGTGGTCGAGTTTACCCCAAAGGCCATTGGTCCAAGAACATGGACACGGCTACTGTGTCCAAGTTCGTGGAGCATGTGTGCATGGAACATGCCACGGATGTTTCTCGAGATGCCATTCTTTCCTTGATCCTGGAAGCATGTGGGGCGATCCACCACTTCATGTACATTGTGTTTTCGGCGTCATTTTTTTTGAGTGAAAGCGAGGGATGGCAATTGATTTCTGCTGGGCATGCTTTTCTTTCGTGCTACACTGCAGTGTCGAAGAAAGCATTTGACCGTGGCTTGTGTTTGTTCTCTCTGAAGCCTGTGCTTCACCTATTTGCGCATATAGTGTTTACGGCCTTGCAGCAATACAAGACTTCTTCTGATTCCGTGATCAACCCAGCTGCAGAGAGCACTTTCATGGCAGAAGATCTGGTCGGCAGGATCAGCCGCTTAAGCAGACGTGTGTCTGCAAAAAAGCACGGACGCAAAATCATGTATCGATATATGGTCGCTTGTCAGTTTCACTTGTCCAACCCTGATGGCTTGCTGGAGGTCTAGAAAGGCGAGTATGATTGGCATGATTTGTGGGTGGTGGGATCAGGATCATGACCGGAATGTGCAAGGTGGAGACGTTTCATGACGTTTCACATGATATGGAACGGCCAGTTTTTTTCGAAACGACCACTTCTCAAACAAAAGCAATCTTCGATTGTTTTAAAGCAGGTGTTTGAGTTCCTAGGTATATATATATATCATATTTTCGAGAACTGTTCTATGTTTATGCCAGTATGCCATGGTCTCTATTATTGTGTCATCTCGTTTCATCCCATTGGCGCTGCGTTCGATGGGCCCATCCCCTCGAGGCTGGAGAACCTCCGAGACCTGAACCCGTTTGGAGCCCCGGACGTGGGAAGCGCGGAGGCCGAACTCGAAGCATTCTGAGGCCATTCCCTCGTAAAATAGATGGATTCTAGGACATCTTTCATCTCCATAACCTGGATCCTATAGGTCATTTCCATCCATCATTTTTGATCTCGAACCCCTTTCACTTCACCATACTTCACCCCTTTCCTGGCGGAAGATTTGGAGAAGGCGTTGTCCCGCTTTCTTCGGATCGCACTTTCGATCCACCGACGTGTGGCGAGGCACCAGGGCTTCTATGTGTTGCAAGCGATGAGCCGGCTACGGCTGAAGCATCCTAAGGCCTAAGCGGAGGAAGCGTCCGGTGTATTTTTTTTTGAAATCATAAAAAACAACATCGAAAACAATTCAAAACTGTTTGGTTTTGGTTGTTCTCTTTCCCGCAGATCGCTATGCGTCCCCCTGGCTTTCGGTCGAAACTCGGTCATGGTGCGCTGCCATTGAGAGGACGTTGACATGGGTGAAAAGCTGTTTGTGTTCTGTTTTGGATGTGCTGCCGCTGACCGAAGGTAATGGTATTGATTGCAAATAGGTTTGTTATGATTTGTTCAACAGCCATGACAATTGAGTCAGAAACTCGGCCATCCCTCCGAATGGCTCGAGGGCAAATTTTGCCACAATGTATATAGTTCTTGATGGGCTATTGATTGTGATGATTTGCTGATACGAGTCTTTCTTGAGCAGATCATTCAAGTGTTTGAATATCATATCATATAACCAAACATATCTGAAAACGCGCAGAGTCTTCGTGGAAATCCATTTTTCTTACCGTCTTCTTGTGACCTGCATGTCCTTATCAGGTCCTTAGCATCAGCTGCAGGTCACGTCACGTCCACGTCACAGGGGTGGGTGCACAGACCCGACCTGTCCGTTCGGACTGGCGATGCCGATGTCCACTCGGCAGATGGGCCACGTCAACGGAGATGAAGATGGCGTTCCCATGAACAACAGGTAGCACGAAGAACAAACACGGCCCACTCAAACATCTATAGCGGCAACTATAGAGAGCTGTTTCTTTCGAATTGCGTTTCCATCAAAAGGCTCGTGGCTTCCCATGGCGCCGAGCGAGCTCAGTGCCGTGCCGCCGCCGTCGCGTGTGCCGTCGTGGCCTCAAATTGTCGCTTTTGGACTTAGGACCTGGAACTTCGCTCTACGTACCGAGTCGTTCTTGTTAATGGTACCAGCTTGTGTTGTGTTGTGCTTCTCTTTTGCGGTTGTATACCGCTGGAGTTCTGTACTTGTTGGTTTGTCGTTGTTGTTGTTGTTGTTGCTGCTGCTGCTGCTGCTGGACGGCATTTGGCCCACTTTTCACTCTCAACGAAAGTGTATGAGGAAGCTGGTCTGCATGCCACAGAATCAGACCCACGGTTTGGATCGCAGGACATCTCCAACTGGAAGATCATATGAGCTGTGACCCAGAAGCCCACGATGCAGGGTTGAGTGGGATCACAGAATTATCCACCAGGTTTTCTCTCCCATTTTTCCAGTCCATCGCCAGGCCTCAGGCGCCGCAAGCAAAGCCAGCGTCCCAGGCCGGAGAAAAAAACACGAGGAATGGTGCTGTTTCAAAATAGGTGTATGGCAATGGGTACATGGGTGTATGAGGTCCTGTCCGGTCCCTTTTGGGCAAATACACGCAAAAGATCATGCAAATATGTTTGGGTCTGTCCGTTCTTACCTGTAACAGCAGTAAACAAGTATCGCTAGTCTTGAACAAGACCTGGAACCTAAGCATCATCATCCACTGAAACCTGGCAATAGGATAGACCCAACAAATATGGTATCCATGGATTTGTTTCCTTAAGGCTTCCCTCCCTAACTGGCGAGAGCAACCGCGTCCAGGTCTCAGGCGTACCACCGTCCATCGTGAGCGGCAGCGGAGCTGCTCAGGATGGGGAGGAAGGAAGTTGGGGGACGAAGCATTCAAGAACAATCTGACAAAGCACAAAGCATGACGAAAGCCAAACCTGTAGAAATTTGAGACATGTTGGACACACACACAGACACAGATTTTCTATCGTTTGATTTTGCTGTTGCCATGAATCTTGAATATTCTTTGCTCGGTGCCACCAGTCTTTTCTTTGCTCGTCCGTAGAGTTCGTTGCCCACAAATTTCTGGAGACTCAGATTCTTGGCCCCCTGGCATTACCGCGCCAAGTCTTCATGCGTCGACTGCTCTGCGCAGGATGCTCCAAGGTGGGGCAGCCTGGAGAAGGTGTCAAACTTGATGTGAGCAGCAAGCAGTTCTACACCTCGAGGTTGCCCAAAGGGTTGGTGGTAAAGGGTGTCTATGAAGATCTATAATATGACGGTTTTTCCTACACCATTTATATACCCCTGGGCCTCCAAAAACCTTCTGAGAAGGTGGGACTGGGGTGGGTTTGGAGGGTCCAAATACCTTCTGAGGATGTACTTGGAGGTGTAGGGTAACCCTTTTGGATCCTTTTGGCCTGTTTACGCATAGGATCCAAAAACCACCTAGGGTTGGCGGAGGGAGGGCACCCGAAACCACTGATATGGCAAGGGAAAATGGATGAACATGGCCCGTGAGTATGCCTTTGTTGGGGTTCCTTTTCCCTCATTCCGAAAGAATGGTGAGGAGAGGTGAGGAGTGTAGATGAGTGGAGTACATGTTGAAACCGTGAATCGATAGGTGACATGGCTTCGATAGATGTGTGGGTCATGAGGAATGGGGGGACCCTGCTTGACCACAGAACATGAAGAGAATAGCAACAGTCAACCTACCAGACAGTCAACCTACCAGACATGGTACACCTACCAGACATGGAACCCGGGTAGGTTGGACCACCAAACTGTAGGTTGACTACAATGGGTAGTCTGCAGGCGGTTAACGACCGACTGAGTCGGCGGTCCACTGCGGGTTAGAAGGAGAAGTTCCACCCGACAGGGTCAACCGGCCCCCCGTCTCCGCGACTGAGGCTGGGCAGCTCAGTCTCCCTGCCCGCGTTACCGGAGGCGGAGTACCACCGGAAGACTTGTAGAGCATGGAGTGAAATGGTGGGATCTCCGAATATTTTGAATTGAGGTTGGTTGGAATATGTTGGAATCTTGCTGGTTCTTGCACCAAGGAAGAAAAACACGGGTGCTTTGGCAAAGTAGTCCATAGTATATAATCCTGTCGTGAAGGGTATTTCGCCAGTGGTGGGGACCTTGCCTTGACTGGGATGATTTTGACGCCCTCAAGTGCACTCCCCAGACGCCACCCAAACAGCTTTGCCAAATCTTCAAACATCATTCTGTGATTGTGTTTCTCCTGTGACGGGTGGCTGGAGTTGAAACAGAACAAAAAGCAAGCATGCAATTCATTTTTCAGCTCTGGGTTCAAGACAAAGTCTAAACGTGATCGACTTTTTATATCGGTCAAGATGAGTGCATCGATCAAGGCAACCGGCGATCGATCCGGAAAAAAGCAGAGGCGGCCGAGTTCCAGCAAGACGGCGACTGGGACAAAGACGGTAAGTTGCAAAGCTTGATTTCTAAGGAACATGATTCTAAGGGACATCGGTTTCGTCACTTCTGGGTGTATGATGGTGTATGTGTTTTGCCTGAGTTGTTGGAAGATACGACACAGCAGTATCGACTGCATATATAGATCTTAAAATATTTTAATATATATACAATACATATATATGTATATAAATAATATATATAATACATATATATAATATTATGTGAATATATGCACATATATATAATGTCGACGTAGGATTAGTCACCCCCCTTCAAGGTCAACAAGGTCAACAAGGTTGGAGACCACATCCCCTTAATAAAGATGATGACCTGATGATGGATGATGAGATGAGGACCTGGACCAGATGATGGGTGATGGTTGATGGGGTGGTGTGTGAAACGTGAGAGTTTGAACCATGAGAACCATGAAGGGTCTGAGTGTATGGGCACAAGTTTGATCAGAGATCAGATAGGATTGATCAGAGAGCCATGCCAATTGGATCATTGCATATCAGAGCATGGAGGATGAGGAATGGGAGGTGGAGGCTATTTGTGGTGAGGGTGCATCCATGGACTGGATGGAATATTGGTGGCCTGTGGAGAGAGATCAGAAGATTAGAGGTGAGTACAATAGTATGGGCATTCCAGTATGGAATCGCAGATGGTGAGATGATGAGGCATTGGCTTGATAAATGGATTGGGGAATTGGGGATAGCATGGTGTTTGTGGGATGTATTCATCCATTCGTGGGCAATGAGTGGTGGAGCTGGGTCCATGGAATGCATGGTGGAAATGAGTTTGGGGACTTGCTGGGTGCACCATGGGTTGGTACTCATTGTGCACAATTACTATTGATGGAGCATATTTGGGCCCAAAATATTGGTTTAGTGAGGTATTGGGCCATGGTGCACTCAGCAGAGGAGATGACCAATGAGCTTTTGAGCTTGGGTGGTATCATGAGAAGCCATGTGCTGTGCAATGTCTGGGTGATCAATTGAGGGTATGCTGGGATTGGCAAAACATGACTTTATGTATGTGTATGTGGACGCGAATGATGGGATGAAGAGGATATTCTTTATGAGTTTGGGCCATGATGGTGATCACCCAGCAGCATCAGATCATTGGTGTATCTATGGTTGGAGGGTTCTATCAGGCTCTTTGGAGAGATTCCCCAGGGTGGGGGGATATGGGCTATAGACCTGAAGGGGTGAGAGCATTGGAGATGAGCAGGATTGGTCCAATGGGATAGGATGTGAATTCACCAATGCTATGGTTCCCTATGAGCCTGAGAATGAGGATGAGGTCCACCATGGGAATGGGCATCATGAGGGTCTAGTGAGTAATCAGGTTTCACTTTTGATGGGCCTCCATAAAGAAGGTGGGGATGTTAGATGTTTTTGAAAAGACATGAGGATGGTGATGGGCAATGGTAGAGTCGGATGCTGATGGGCAAGTCTTTTTGCATATGAGGTGGGTTCATATGAGCATGCTGATGGGCCCACATGAGAACCCACATGAGAACTGATGAGGCTTGCCATAATGAGAACCCACATGAGAACTCATTGGACTGAAAGGGAATTGTGTGTGGATGAGGCTTGCATGGGAAACCACATGAGAACTTGTGGATGAGTGTTCATGTTAGATTGATCCATGGGTTGTTTCCCAAGGGAGCTTATGGGATAGGATGTGAACTGATGAGGTTTGCATGGGCATGAGTATACATTGGCTGCACAGATTGCTGCTGGGAAGGATGAGAAGAACAAGCAGAATGATCAGACATGATTGATGAATGAGAGGGTCAGCATGGGAAA